ACTTAATCACAATAAAAAAAAAAAGAACTTCGGGGAGGGGAGGGAGGGAGGGGATGGTAGGGGGAAAACAATGGAGGGGCTAACAATGTTCAAGAAGAAGTGTACTCATTACCTCACTCATGTAACTGTAACCCTCTGTATAGTATCTTTACAAAAAAAAAGCAGAAAAAAAATAATCAGGTTTCTCCAAAGCACAAAGATAAATTTCTGCAATTAAATTCTAAATTAGATATTCATTTGAGACAAGGTCTCACTGTGGAGCCCAGGATGGCCTCAAACCCTTGACCCTCCTGCCCCAGCCTGAGTGCTGTGACTGTAGGTATACACTAATACAACTGCTTAAACAGGATATTTTTCTGCCATAAGTATGAAACTTGAGGACATTCATTATATACTACCTTTGAAATAAATGAAGCAGAGACAGTCCAAAATTCTTTGCATTTCCTAGCTGTATGGGCAGAGACTATCCGAAGATCATACGGATTGCAAAAGCCTTTATTACTAAGTCCGGGAAGGCAATACACAAATACACAATCATCTTTCAAAGGTGCCTAATAGAAAAAAAAACTTAATGTGGTTAAATTGTCTAATAAAAATGTTTGAACTTATTACCTATTGAATTGAAACTATTTTAATATGGAAATATGGATTAAAAATAGGCATAACTAACCTCACATTGAGTCTAAATTTTAACAAGATTAATCTTATGAAAGATTTAATATATTTAATTTTCATTCCTTAACACAACATAGTGATAAAACATTAAAAAAAGGCCCATGTACCTACTAACACCTGCTTCCCAACCCAAGGAGCTTGATGGCACATGTGCCATCTTCCAGAGAATTTAGTCTGCCAGAAACCTTCCAGGCACACAAAATCTATCACTTATTTTGATCAACATGGTACTTTAGTATTTTAGTAATAATTCCTATTATTGTTAATAAATGTTTAGTAAGTAATAATATATTCAATAATATATTATGTAGACTAATAGCAATGACTTTAATATCTTAACTTTTATCTCTTAAATTTTAAGGAATTAAAATGTGATATTTTTAATCTCGTTATACAGATATGGAATCATATTTTCTTACATTAGGGAATTTGAGAAAGGTAACAGGTTCAAGATGTGGCAAATAACTGAATTGAATCCAAGTCTGACTCTAAAATCCTGTTCAAAGCTTCTGCAATAAAATATAATTTCTCTGTCATTTACTTGGTGTTTTGAGAAACTGGCCATTCTACATGAAGCCTTTTTTTTTTTTTTGCTGGTCCTGGAGCTTGACCTCTGGGCCTGGGCGCTGCCCCTCAGCTCTTCAGCTCAAGGTCAGCGCTCTACCACTTGAGCCACAGCACCATTTCCCATTTTCTGGTGGTTTATTGGAGATAAGAGTTTCACGGACTTTCCTGCCCTGGCTGGCTTTGAACTGCAATCCTCAGATCTCAGCCTCCTGAGTAGCTAGGATTACAGGTGTGAGCCACTGGCGCCTGGCTTCATCTGATCCCTTTTAGAAAAATTTTCTGATCCCTTGTTTGATGCAGTGGTTCTTAACTGTGCATCAAAATCATCTGAGAGCTCAATAAAATAGATAGCTAGCTACCCACTTTCAGAGTTTTGGATTCAGTGGGTCGAGGATGCCAATGAGAACACGCATTTCTAACTGGTTTCTGAGATTACCTCCTTTGATTCCCCCCCCCTTTTTCTCTTTTTCTTTCTGACTCTGGGGTTTGAACTCAGTGACTCATGTTCTTGCTCATCTTGCCTGTTCATGGCTGGTGTTCTACCACTTGACCTATTCCTCCAGTCTGGCTTTTTGCTAGTTAATTGGAAATGAAATCTCATCAACTTTTCTGCAGGCTGGCTTCAAACTTTGATCCTCCAGATTTCAGTTTCCTGAGTGCTAGGACTATAGGCATGAGTTCCTTTACTTGCTTCACACACACAAAAAAAATGATATGCAAAAACAAAAAAGTAGATTTTTAATTTGAGTCAAAGGGTACCCTGGAGACACAGTCAGCTAGAGAGAGATTTCAGAGGAAACAGACACAAATATTATAGTCTTAAAATGTGTATATATGTATAACTACATATATATGCCTTATCCATTTTCATTGTTTATTTTATTTTTTATTGTTAAATTAGTCAAATAAAATCATGAGAAATATTTTTTTTAGTTGTGGGGCCTGAACTCTGGGCCTGGGCGCTGTCCCTCAGCTCTTCAGCTTAAGGCAAACGAACACTCTACCTCTTGAGCCACAGCACCACTTCCAGTTTTCTGGCTGTTTATTGGAGATAAGTCTCACAGACTTTCCTGCCCAGCTGGCTTTGAACCACGACCCTGAGATCTCAGCCTCCTTAGTAGCTAGGATTACAGGTGTTAAGCCACCAGTACCCGGCCATGAGAAATAATTTTAAAAGCATTTTCCGTGAAATAATTGCTGTACCTTAATATTAACGTTACATCTTATATTGATGTAACAGCTGAAATGATTTAAATAGATAGTTCATTAAGATAGTTTCAAAGTCATCTTTATAGCCCAAAACTGAATAAAATAGAATACCTTTAGATCATTCTGAACCAAAACCCCAGGACAATTATATTTCAGACTCTGGTTCCATAATACAGTTGGCCATCCAAGCTTTTCTCTTAGCTGAGTAAGAAATCTTGTCACCTCATCATCCTGTGGTTCTGGTGTCAAAAAAATTTTAAGTTCAATATAAATGTAAATGTAAATACCATATCACTCAAGGATAATATACAACATTTCTACCTAAAGAAAAAAAATTAACATATGCAAGCTAACATAATGACTCCCCCTAGTCTCTAAGGACCGCTCTACCCTCTGAACCCTTCGCTTCCACTGAAGGAGGAGGACATGTGGCACTCATCCCTCCGCACCTGGCTACGTTCACTTCATGTGATTGTCTCCAGCCCTGTCTATCCATGTTGCCACAGTGACAGGATTTTTATTCTTTGCATTCCACTGTGTACACAGACCGCAAGGTCACCATGAGCTAAACAAGAAGATGTAGTCTCAGAAAATCAAGGTGTAGAGGTGCAGCTGAGTGGTGGAGTCTCTGTCTAGTGTATGTAAAGCCTTGGGTTCCATTCCCAGCATAGCAAAAAGAAATGACCATCAAGCTTTACTGCAAGCATAGAACAGAACTATACAATTGCTCTTACATAAAACTTCTAAAACAAACCAGAACCTCTTGACATTATCATTATTTTAAAAACCGAATTGCTGAACAGTCTATAAATTTTCTAATTAATGATATTTTAATTTTCAAAAATAATTTAAGGATTAACAAATGGGACAACTGGTTTCTAGGTCCCACTGCTCATTCTTCTGAGTCGCCTTTACTTTCTCTTTACTAAATAAACTCTTTAAAACTGTACAAAAACGGTAACAATTGCTTAAGCAATTGAACATAAAACATTCAGTAAGATTGCTCTTCCCCGCTAAAATCAGTATCCAATATAAACACATTACTACAGAAAATGCAAAAATGTGTAGTTTTCTAAACTACTGGTTTAGCACAGTATGACATACCTGTTCTATTATATAAAAAGTGTCGGCCTTTCCTGTCTCCTGGACAAACATGAATTTGTTCCTCTTCCCTCTTCGATTTCTCTTTCTTCTCATGGGAAATTGGTTCTGGAGCAATTATATGTTGTTGAATTATATTTCCTTGAGGGTAATCTGAAAATATAGCCATTATTAATGGAATAAGTAGTGTGTGCTATAAATAATACCTCAGTTGTTGGACACACCAAGTGACTCAGTCTTTATTTAAGGCACTAAAACAACAATGCACTAAGGAGAGACTCTAGTCGAAGCCCCCAGGTTCCATGCTAGGAGAAAAGCTTAACACCCACAGTTCTTTTTGCCTTATGAGTTAATCATCTGCCTGCCTTACCTGCCCTGTCTGTGCAACAAGGAAGTGGGGTGAAGCCACACTTAGGGAGTAACTAGGTTATTAAATCCCACAGACCATTCACACCAGATTGGAAAGTTAGCTCATTTCCTCCTTGCTTCTAATTTACCACTTCCCCAATATTATAATTTGCTCTCTTTGGAAGAAAAATGACACCCTACTTTGAAGCTCATGACTTTTTTTGGGGGGGGGAATCTGGTCGTGGGGCCTGAACTCGGCCTGGGCGCTGTCCCTCAGCTCTTCAGCTCAAGGCCAGCACTCTACCACTTGAGCCACAGCACCACTTCTGGCTTTTTTTCTTTTTGCTTATGTGGTGCTGAGGAATCAAACCCAGAGCCTCATGCATGCAAGGCAAGTGCTCTACCACTGAACCACCTTCCCAGCCCCTGAAGCTCAAGACTTTTTACAACATCATCAGTTCACCTTGCTTGCTTGGTCACTCAGCTCTACTGCAACGTGGGCGCAGGGGACAGCTACTTTCTCCACATCTTCCAGCATTTGAATACCTCCAGTTTTTCTGACTTCAGATCTCTGAGACACACATCCCTCCTCCTTTTGCAGCTATTCTTCTATCTCTATCTCAGCCAATCAAATCAAGCAACGATATACCCTATCTACAACGTCAGTTTTATTATTTTGCCAGACTGCCTTCAAGAAACACACTCAACAACATCCAGCTAGATCCGTGTGGATGATATCCGTCTCAGTGTGTGGCGTCACTTACCCTTCGGCCTTTGGGCCGTCTTGGCTCTCCCGGGAGGGCCCCTCTGCCCCAGCCCTTCTTGTCACTCTCCTATGCACTCCCTCTTTTCTCCTGTCCAGTTCAGACTATGTTGTCTTTCTGCACACCCTTGCTAATATCCGAAACTTCCTCTTTCTTTTGATCTGTATGGCAAAAAACAAGCCTTGGGCAAACCCAGCTGGCTATGCTTTTTATACCACTGTCTCATAGCCCCCTGAGAAGATTCATAACTGTCCAAATTCACTTAACTGACCACAAATAGACCCTGGACACAAACCGCTCTCCTTTTTGTCTGATTAACTTGCTCTTCAACTCTCTCACTGGCAATTCCAAATCTTTGAAATGTTATATCTTCCAGTCTTCCCTTCACTGATCTCAGTGTCTACTTCCCGGGAATCATAAGAGCATTTGATGAGAATTCCTTCAACCTGCTATTCCCAAACAAACCAAGCAACCCACATTTGCACTCAATGTTCGAACTGTGCCTCCCAACCAGAAACCAATCCTTTCCAGGTTTTGTTTGATCCCATCTCTTCATGTGTGTATTAGTAACTACTCTTTATTCTTTTGCATATCAGCTCCTACTTAAAGTTCATTCTGTGACCATAGCTCCCTCCAATGATCACTTTATTTATATGTTGCCTTTATTCATAGATGGGCCATAAGGGTCACTATTCTTTCTTTAGTACTATTTATATATATATATATATATATATATATATATTATTGTAAAAATACTGTACCGAGGGGTTACAGTTACATGCGTAGGGTAATGAGTATGTTTCCTATCAAGCGTTGTTACCTCCTCCTTTGTTTTGATTCCCTACCATCCTTCCCTCCCCACCTCCCCAAATCCTCTCTCCCCCCACACCGACATTGTGAAGTTCGTCCTGTACATCTCATCGGCACAATGGGGCAAACTGCATCCCCATTTAAGCATTCTGCTATAACCCTTCCTCTCCCCAAATTACAAAAATATATATACAAGATGCAGAACACCGGAATCAAATACAGTGAAAACAGGTTATACTGTGGGGAAAGAACTTACAAAAGAATCAAATAGTGCATTAAAGTACATTAAAAAAATAGCAAGAAAGAAAAAACTACTTGTGTCCTTGTCTTGGGATACATTTTGCTTAACATCATCTTGTATGGTCATCTATACATAGCCTTTGACCTTCTCTGCTTGTCCTAGACCTGTACTAGTCACTGCAACAAAGGGAAACCATGGGACCTATGTTTCTTAGAAGTCAAAAAATTAAACCCCCAACAACAAATCCTCAAAGAAACAACTACCCAAGACTTAAACTGCTAAAGACTTAAAGAGAGACTTTTTTGAAGAGGAAATAAGAATGGCCAATAGACACATGAAGAAACGCTCAACGCTCAACTTCTCTAGCCATAAAAGAAATGCAAATTAAGACAATATTGAGATTCCACCTCACCTCAGTTAGAATGGCTATAATCAAGAAATCTAGTAACAAGAAGATGCTGGAGGGGATGTGGCCAAAAGGGAACCCTTCTGCATTGTTGGTGGGAGCGTAGACTTGTTCAACCACTTTGGAAATCAGTATGGAGGATCCTCAAAAGACTCCACATAGAGCTCCCCTATGACCCAGCAATCCCACTTTTGGACATTTACCCAAGTGATCACAAACAAGGTCATACCAAGGCTACCAGCACAACCATGTTTATCGCAGTATTATTCACCATAGCTAAGATATGGAACCAACCCAGATGCCCCTCAGTAAATGAGTAGATCAAGAAAAAGTGGTTGTGTATGTGTGTGTGTGTGTGTGTGTGTGTGTGTGTGTATCAAGTGGTATATATATATATATATATATATATCAAGAAAAAGTGGTATATATATATATGGTATATATATATATCAAGTGGTATAGATATATGGATCAAGAAAAAGTGGTATAGATAGATAGATAGATAGATAAGGTTGGTTGGTTGATGATAGTACTGGGCCTTGAGCTATATATATATATATATATATATATATATACCACTTTTTCTTGATCCATATATCTATCTATCTAGCTAATGGAAATCTATGCCTCCATCAGAAAGAATGACATTGCCCCATTTGTTAGGAAATGGAAAGACTTGGAAAAAATTATGTTAACTGAACTATCCATTTCTTAATCTACTGCAGTCTTGAAATTCTACCAGAACGGCACCCAAGTGACATCTGATGTCAGTAAATTCAATGGACTTATTACAGTCCTGATTTTCCCTGAGATATCAGTGTGATTATTGATAAACTTTTCCTTTCTGACAGAGTATTTCCTTTTGTATGACACCACACTCATTCTCTTCTTCATCTCCCTCTTTGAGCCTGTTCTAACCAATCCCATGTCCATTGCAACTGCCTTCTTTCTCTGACTCAGGACTACAATTGCTTTAGTTTCATTTTATACAATCCCCTTAACTTCACCATGGCTATGGTCCAATCTTTTACCCACCAATTACTCCCAAATATACCGTCCACTTCAGTCCTGACATCTCTGAGCTCCAAAAAATATGCTCAACAGATATTCTTCCCCCTTGAGATAGATCAAGATATTCCTAACTCAGCATATCAACAACTGAACTCCTGGCTTCTCCCTCAGACCCCACAAGTCCTGACTCGTACACGGTACCACTATTCATTAGGTTAAGTGATCCAGGGACCTAGGAACCGTCTTTTGAAAACTACTTTTATTAGCATACATCCATAGTACAAGGGGCCTTCATTGTGATGATTCCATTGGGTGGAGCACATACTTTGAACAAGTCTACTCCCTCTATTATATTCCTTTAACTTCTTTCCCCATCCCTTTTAAAAGTTAGTGGTGAGCTTATTATGCCATCTTTATATACATATACACACACATAATATATGTAGACTTGGTATTCTTCTAGCCGCTCCATCTCAGTATAAGACAAAATAAATGAACACAAAATTTCATATTAAAGATTTAAAAAGATGAAAAATCTTTCTGCGATTTCTATCTTCGAAGTACAATAAGAAATTCCTTAAATTATTCCTTAACGAAGCAAGTCCTTGCACTGCTACCCAGTCTTAAATGTATCTTCTCTCTTTCCTGAGGAAACTAACTAAAGGATCAGATTCAAATAGTCTCCAAACCAATCTTCAAGCAGAGGCTGAAGGCAAAGGAAAAAAATGGGCTAAATGTTGTTTGATGTGTGTATTTCATACATACTACAAAAGGAAATAAACTGTCTGAGGTAGTCAAGGTCTACTCTTGTTTCCAGGGGAAAAGGGATGTTATTTCTGACAGACCTTAAAAACAGAGAAAACAAATTTTAAAATGGTAGTGGGCCACTCATGGAAGAGGCTAGAAAGAAAAGATAGAAAATAGGCAAGCAAGATGACTTGTTCAACAGTGTTCTTCAAGAGTCAAGGGAGATAAAAGTGAGTGGTCAAAGATTAAAATGACACAGTAAAATAAAGATTATTTTTTGTAAATTTATCACTTCTATAAGGATTTGGCTGTGAGTAAAGAGCTCATGAACACAGAAAAGTCCAATCAGTAGAGCAAAGGAAGCAGAGCCAGATGAAGACTGAATTAGAGGTGAGGAGTCACAAACTGAATGTTGGGAATTCTGGTGATAGTACTGCCGGAAGGAAAACAGGCCTCCAGGTGTTTCTGGTGGTTTGGCTTTGTTTCAGTCACACAGGTAGCAGGCTTGTGTGCTTAAAAGACCACAAAGGAAGATCTGAGAGAAGACCAGATGGCTCCTGTTGTAAGGGTGTGGCAGAGTATATTTACCATAAAGCACAAGGGGCCCAGCCCTCCTCAAGATCAGTTCTACAGACGGGGCAAGGCTTATAAAAGGAAGCTCTGGTTTGGTTTTGTTTTTTTAATGAAATTACTGGAAATAGAATTTGAGCAAGAACAAAGGAATACTTTTTTTTAAATGGAGATATGTGGAGAAATACTCAGGGCACGAAAGGGTGTCACACAGTCAGAAAGCCCTGGGCACTTGAGAACATGCCAACCTCCGTAAAAAACGGTATGTATGAGACAATACATAGGCAATACAAAATGTAAACTGGCAGAGAGATATTACATTCTTGTAATGTTAGTGGTATCCACGTTTTTATCATCTTCCTATTAGTATTTAGATTGTGTTCATTTAACAAGCAAGCTTTGTATTTGGAGACATTGCTAACTACTATTGAGTTGTGGAATTAAATATCAAACTTCACATTTTGAAAGTAGGCTCTACATAGTTTTTTAATCTACTTCACTTGCTCTCATTTAATGCTAAGAAAACCCATTTTCCATTTCCATAAGAGAAAATATAAGTTAACATGCCTGAACGGTAGTCTGGATAAATTTCTTCTGTTCTCTCTTCTTTCAAGAGTGCAGAGAATATTTCATATTTCTGCATTTCTTTTACTGATACATGGGATGACTGATTCTTTCGTAGCACATTTTTGTATTTCTGTTCTTTATATTTCAATTGTCTAAGATGACAAAGAAAAAATTTTTTGGCAAAGAAAAAATTCTAGGAAAATGAATAATCACACCAATAAAATGTAAGATGTTAGCATATTATCCATTATTTTGCATTTGTAATTGAAATAGATTTTTAAGTTTGATAAATGATACAATTAACACCATAAATCAAGATGAAATATCCTGTACTTTGTAATACAATGTAAACCATGATCAATTTGTAGAATGTTAAACTTTGCAACTATGCATGGTATGCATGCGGATGTATGTACATAGGCTGAGCCTTGGTAGGAGTGATCACGGCTACTACTTCAGTAACTTCAGTGATTCACCTTGTTTCTTCTTTTTTTTTTTTGCAAGTAGAAAACTCGTTTATTAACAGAGAGTAGCCCCTTTTTCTTCACCTTGTTTCTTTTTTTGGGGGGGGGCGGGGGTCCGGTCGTGGGGCCTGAACTATGGGCCTGGGTGCTGTCCCTCAGCTCTTCAGCTCAAGGCTAGCACTCTACCACTTGAGCCACAGCGCCACTTCCGGCTTTTTTCTTTTTGCTTATGTGGTGCTGAGGAATCGAACCCAGGGCCTCATGCATGCAAGGCGAGCACTCTACCACTGAGCCACCTTCCCAGCCCCTTCACCTTGTTTCTTAAGTCCATTTTGACTATAGTTTAAAAATTTTTATAGCTTGTACAAATTTTCAACTTTATTGTCATTAAATAGTTATAAATCCTTTTAGTCACAGGTCCATTTGTATTATTCTTCCTTTTCCAAATATTATTGGTTATGGTGCCAATGAACAGAACTGCACTGTGAATGATGAACACTGTGAATGATGTGTAATGTTACTTCTGGACTTTATTCTTGATATTGTCAACAATTGGTTTTACTGCCGTTGCTTTTAATGATCTCTATTTCATCTTTAATTTCTATTTTGTTAATTTCTGGTATTATCTTCTCCCTTTATTAAAGTCTATTCTGTTCAGTTCTCTTCCTAATGTCTTTTTTTTATTCTTCTATAGATAAAGTTGGTTGGTTGATGATAGTACTGGGCCTTGAGCTAGGTAGGTAGGTAGGTGCTATACCACTTGAGCCAATCCACAGCCTTGTTTCTGGTGCCAATACTGGGGTTTACACTCAGGGCCTAGGTGTCTGTCCCTTAGCCTTTCCACTCAAAGCTAGTGCTTTACCACTTGGGCCACAACTCCACTTCTAGTTTTTTGGTGGCTAACTAAAGATTACAGTCTCACAGACTTTCCTGCCTTGGCTAGCACTGGACAGAAATCCTCAGATCTCAGCCTCCTAACTAGGATTACAGGCTATATTCGTTATTTTTTATATAGGGTCTTACTTCTGTAGCTGGGGTAACAAGCACATACCAAGCAGACTTTTTTGTGCAGGCTGACTTCACTCTGCAGACCTCCCAATCTCACTTTGACTGCCATGACCAGCAGAGTTATGTTTCTGATACAGAGTCTCTTTTTCCCTAGAGCCAGTTTTGGATGCAATCCTCCTGTCCCTGCCTCCTGTAGAGCTGAACTTACAGGTGTATCACCAAGTTTAGACTTTTGGATTGTTAGCTCATTAATTCTTATTTTCTTCCTTTTTAATGTAGGTTTAGATTGTTATACATTTCTCTCTAAACAATGAATTAGCTAAATCATACAATTTTCAATAATACACAATAGTTGTATAGTAGTTTAAGCATTTATTCTTTTTTTTTTTTGGTCAGTCATGGGATTTGAACTCTAGGCCTGGGCACTGTCCCTCAGCTCTTCAGCTCAAGGCTAGCGCTCTACCACTTGAGCCCCAGTGCCACTTTTGGGTTTCTGGTGGTTTATTGGAGAGAAGAGCCTCATAGACTTTCCTGCCCAGGCTGGCTTTGAATCTCAATCCTCAGATCTCAGCCTTCTGAGTAGCTAGGATTATAGGTATGAGCCATTGGTGCCCGTCAGCATTTATTCTTGTGTCTAATATTTTCAGTTCTAAGGTATTTTTTCCTAATTTTTTCCTGTATTATATTTTAATGATTTACTTAGAAGTATTTTCAAAATACTGTTTCATTTCTAAATATAGTGAAGGTTTTCTAGTTGATCACTTTTACTGATTTCTAATGTAATTAAAGAATATATGGTCTATACTAATCATAGTGATGTTTAGAAATTTTGTTAAAAATTTGTGTATTTGCACACTCAAGTTTCCATGTTAATCGAAAATATATATCTTGTAGTTGTTGGGTAAAAAGCTCTGTCTACTTTAAAACAATCTTGTTAATTTGGTTGTTCGTATCTTCTATATTCTAATTTTTGTGATTCAGAGTGATTAACTGATGAGAGTAATTTATGAAAATTTTCCATTATAAAAGTAGATTTGTCCACTTCTCTTTCAGTTTGTCAACTTCTGTTTCAAATGAGTTAGAACAGTTATAGCCCACTTGGCTGAACATTCTATCTTCAGTTACAGTTACTGTATGGATTCTTTTCCTGCTGCTGTGCTATTCTGATACTACGGTATCTTTGACTCATATATCTTCCCATCTTTTTATCTATTTGTATATCCAATAGACATTCCCACTGGCATTTACTTGTACCATTTAACTCTGCTCATCCTCTATCATTCCTTACTCAACTAACCCTTCCCAGCCCACCTCCTCCCCACAAGGAGTGATTTTGTCCTCCTGCCCGTGGGCCCTGCCTCATTCCTTCCCTTTAATCACCCGGTATTGTGCTGACAGGGGGAGACTGCTGGGGGCGCGCCTGACGACTCACACCCACAGTTACATACTCACTCATCCTGTCAGGGCCAGGGCTGAGTGGTGAGGTATTGATTTCTCTCCATCCTCTGGCTGATCATGTTGGTGGTGCGTCTCTGTGGACTGAGATGGTGGCAAGTGCCCCAGGGTATGGAAAGGAACTAAAGGATGCAGCCTTCTCTCCATCAGTTGTGGTGTCATTTTCTGTCTATAGTTGGCACCTTCCACCCTTCTCCTACCTATAACCTCCTTTCTCCTCTCTCCCCCTCTCTTTAGCACAGACAAGGCTAATCTGCCTATCTTGTCAGGAACAAAATTTCTGAAGAAACATTTATAAACTCCAGAACCATCCATTGATCATCTAAACTTCAATCAACCATCACATTACATGTGAGATGTTTCACTTAATGGTTTATATTGTTGAAGTCTTACTTTAGGAGAAAACTTCATTTTTTTTTTACTTTATTCTATTTTATTGACAGCACTGGAGTGTGAAATCGGGGCCTCAAGCTTGCTAGGCAGCAATCTGTCACTTCTGCCAGGCCCCATCCTTCATGTCATTATAGCTTATTTTTACCTTGAATTTCCGTGGTTTTCTTTCCTGTTCATCTCTTGACTTCCAGCTGTCAAAGCAATGAGTACAAATGTCTCCAACTTTTATATAAGGAGTTGCTATAAAAATATATTCACATTATCTACTTTAATACAAAACAATTTGACAGCTATGAAAACTAGTATTCAAATCTGCATACATAATTCCCAACTTCTTACAAGACTTTACATAACATCCCAATTACCACAAGCATTTTTTTTTTTGGGTCCGGTCATGGGGCTTGAACTCTGGGCCTGGGCGCTGTCCCTCAGCTCTTCAGCTCAAGGCTAGCGCTCTACCATTTGAGCCACAGCGCCACTTCTGGCTTTTTTGCTTATGTGGTGCTGAGGAATTGAACCCAGGGCCTCAGGTATGCAAGGCAAACACTCTACCACTGAGCCACCTTCCCAGCTCCCAACCACAAGCATTTTTTGTATACAAAATGATTTCCAGACTAATCACTAAGCTAGTTACCCTTTGCAGGGTATTCTGTATGTTACCTTCTCCCCTAAGGTAATGTTTTCCTTCTTATACTGACACATTTATGTAAATACAATCTTGGTTCATGTTAACTTCCACAATAAAAATTATAAAAAAAGTCTAAGGCCAGGTGCAGGTGGGCTCATGTATATAATCCTAGATACTTGGGAGACTGAAATCTGAGGGTTACAGTTTAAAGCTAGGGAAGTTTGTAGGAATCTCATCTCCAATAAACTGCTAACAACAAAAAAGAGGAAGAAGAAGAGGAGAAAGAAGCAGAAGCAGAAAGAAGAAGGAAGAAGGGAGGCGGAGGAGGAGAAAGAGAAGAGGAAGAGGAGGAGGAGGAGGGGGAAGAAGAGGAGGAAATAGTAGTAGTGGTGGTGGAGGAAGTAGAGTTGTGCCTCAAGTGGTAAAGCACTAACCTTGAGCAAAAGAAGCTCAAGGACAGTACCTAGGCCCTGAGTTCAAGCTCCAGGACAGATACACAAAAATTTAAGATTTCTTCCTCAAACTGAACACTAGCTACTCAGAAGTCTGAAACCTGAGGAATTCTGGTTCAAAGTCAGCTCAGGCTGAAGAGTCCAAGAGACTCCATATCCACTCAACCAGCAAAATACTGGACTGGAGGTATGGCTTAAGTGGTACAGCACCAGCCCTGAGCAAGAAAGCTGAGTGATAGTGCAAGGACCCAAGTTCAACTCCTGGTACCAGCACACATTTTTTTTTAGTGATGATTTTTAATATATATATTTATTGTAAAGATACTGTACAAAGGAGTTACAGGTAAATGAGTACATTTCTTATTGAACACTGTTACCCACTCCTTTGTTTTTCCCCTACTATCCCTTTCCTTCTTACCTCCCCAACTTCTCACTCCCCTGGACAAGCTGTAAAGTTTGTTTGCAACATAGTGTCTTGTACATCTAGTTGTTACAATGGGTCAACCTGTATCCTTGTTTCAGCATTTTGTTATTTCCCTTTTCTTCCCCAGATTAGAAAAATGTATATACAAGATGCAGGGCACCAGAATCAAATTTAGTGAAAACAGGGATTATATCAATGGGGGAAGAACATACAAAAGAAACAAAAAAATCACACAGTACATCATAACTACATTAAAAACAACAGCAACAAAGATAAAACCTCTTGCAGCACACATTTTTTAAAGGCAAAATTGAAATTTTTACTTAGGTACTCAGAGAAGAAAAAAGTTACAAATGTTTTATTGATGAAATTATTTGATAATAACTGAGTAGAGAGTTTATAAAAAAAAAGCCTACTAAGATAGATTATTGTGTGTGTGTGTGTGTGTGTGTGTGTGTGTGTGTGCGCTAGTCTTGGGGCTTGAATTCAGGGCCTGGGCACTGTCGCTCTTTCTCACTCAAGGCTAGTTAGTGTTCCACCACTTAAGTCACAACTCCACTTCTGGAGTTTTCATAGTTAATTGGGGATAAGAGTCTTACAGACTGGACTTCTCTGCCCTAGGCTGGCTTTGATCTTCTGAGTAGCTACAATTACAGGTATAAGCCACCAAATCCTGTGAACTGAGTTTTTTTAGAGGGAATAACATTTCACTTAACTAGGATTCAAAGATGGTAATTGATGCTTGTCATCAAATAGGTTATAAATGCTCATTCTTAGCTTGCAGATCAAACAAAAACATAGGCCAGGCCAGGTATGGCCTGTGAACCATCATTTGCCAATCCCTTCCAAAGAATACATGCAAATCACAACTTCTACTTTGTGAGGTGTATTTGTGTATTCTCTCATCGTTACCACCTAAAATTTGGCAAGCATTAGAAATGTCATTAACTGAACTGTGTAAAACAGATTTTTTCTCCTCTTTTTGATCAGACAACTGAAAAGCAAACTCCACAACATTTAAAGGCCAGAACATTTCTTCAGGGAAAAATGAATTGCTTAAGAATATTATACGAAGATGAATTTCATTAACACATTATAGCAACATCTTAAAACATAAAAAATTCAAGAAAGATACCAGCCATAAGTCTTGCTTGTAAAAGATATGATAATAAACCCCATCAAGAGTTGGAAGGAGAGCTGGGAAGGTGGCTCAGTGGTAGAGCGCTTGCCTTGCATGCATGAGGCCCTGGGTTTGATTCCTCAGCACCACATAAGCAAAAAGAAAAAAGCCAGAAGTGGTGCTGTGGCTCAAGTGGTGGAGCGCTAGCCTTGAGCTGAAGAGCTGAGGGACAGCGCCCAGGCCCAGAGTTCAGGCGCCACGACCCGACCCAAAAAAAAAAAAGTCCATGAAATTTTTACTTGTAATTAACTACCAAAAAGCCTGAAGTGGAGCTGTGGTTCAAGTGGTAGAGTCAGCCTTGATCAAAAAAGCTAAGGGACAGCATGAAGGCCCTGAGTTCAAGCCTCCGGATGTGTACACTCCCAAACACACACACAAGGATTCTCAAACCGAGGAAGATTCCAATTATATCTTACTAGAAAGAAAAAGCTTTAAAATAAAAACATAAAAAAGGATGAAAGTAAAGGCAGGAAGAGATACACAGGCAAACAATTAAACAAGATAAAAGTACTACAGCTATTTTTTACCAGAAAAAAAGTACTGAAAGTCACTAGATACAGTAAGTAAAGGTTCACTTCACCAGGAAAACAGAACAAATCTGAACTTGCACTTCACAATAAATATACTGCATGATATGTATATACACACACACACACACACATATATACATATATATATACACATATATATACTGCGCTATATATATGCTGCGCTATATATATGCTGTACAATGTGTAACAAAAATGGACACAATAATAAATCAAGTACAATAATAAGATACTTTAACATGTTATTTCAGCTTTTTAGGCCAAACTCTTCTACATAAGAAACAATGAAAGAGTTTAAAAAATGGAATAGCCTCCTACAAAGAGAAAAAAAAGCACGCGGGCCCTGCCGTGACGGCGCTTTTCTCCAAGGTCGCCAACCTCGGCGGCGGCGCCCCAGCACCCCGCGGCCCC